AATGATTGTCCAGCCCACTCATGACTATTTCTAGAGAGGATACTTCCAGCCCCTTTTCCTGCCCATGGAGGTCACTACTTGAATATTATTGTAAACCTTTGTCAAATACTGTCTCAACAAATTTAGGAAAATGTATGCCTCTCACACCCAGCATTAAGACACAAGAATCAGACTTTTAAACTCAATTGTTCAGCTGTCATTCTTACAAAAGACTTTTCTCACTAATTTTGTCAGAAAAATACATTTTTGACTACAATCTTGTGACATCTACGTTTACAGGTCCTTTGGGAGTGAATGGAACTTGTAGATCCAACTGAAGACCACGATTTTGTTTCTCAAAGGCTCCAAGTGATAAGTGGTTGCTATATTAGGAAACAACCTTTTTTTTTTTTCCTCCAGAGAGGAGAATTAAAAGACATCCATAGTCAACTTGACAGTTCAAAGCATGGCGTCTATCATCCATAAACACCTCCACAGTCTCACAGAGAAGAGGAGGGAAAGACAGCTGCAATAAGAACCCGGACACATTTATATGGCTCCCAAAGCACATGTGCAATGTAGGATTTTAACTTTTCCCATAGCTGGTGTTGATGAAGAGGACCTAACTTGAGACAATAAGGTTCAGAACATAAACATTTACAAGCATAAGGGAAAGCATGGACAATCATGATGCAATTCTCTGCACTCTGCTTCCACGGTTTGCTAATGAGTGATTTTATTTCTCTGAACCTCACTTTCCTCATCTGTAAGATGAGACTCGTCACACCTTCCTTACTGTGCAGAGTAAGTAGGATAGTAAATGAAAACTGCCTAGCCCATGAATGGCATTCAATCTACGGTAGATATTTTTTAGCTGTTAATAACGCCCTTCCCAGGCCATTTTCAGATGCTCCTGAGTTAGAGTCAGTCAGGAATTTCTTTAACTGTTCCAAAAGGACACAGCATTGTCAGCATCTTGGCTGATCCATATTAATGTGATAAATTGGTTCTGGCAAATCGGCCTCTAACCTGTCTTCCCTCATGCCCCAGTCCTTGGCTTACTTCCATTTCTCCGTGTTTTTCTAGGTACTCTATAAGTGAGGTCCTATCTGTTCTTTCCCTCCCGCTGTCATCCTCATCTTTCTAGATGCTTAATTCCAGACCATAAGCCTGGGCTCTGACTACCTGTTGTTGATGGTTCATTCCGCCCTCCAGGAGACCTCAAGGATTTCTGCATACCTTGTGTCACCCCTGAGAAGAAAGCAAGCCAGTGACCAACATGTTCAGAGAGTGGAACTTTCCATGGAAGGGCAGAGGTGTTGAATATTTCTGCTTTCCCAGAATTTTTTTTGGGGGGAATCTCCTCTTTTGGTCCCTGTTTTTTTGAGATACCTCTTAGGTCATTCTCTCTTTATTGGGTTGCTTCTCTTTCTTCTCTCCCAAGAATGAGTGTGGAAAGTGGGGCCAGCATTTCTTCAAACTGGAGATATTCCCATAAGCCCAGGAAGGCTTCAAAGAACCAAGGCAAGGTACAGGAGAGAAAAGATACAGAGCATAAAACACACCAGCACCTAAAGTCAGCCTTCTTTAAAACTCCACTCCCTCTGGCTCTTCCTTGGACCCATGATCCATGGCTCTTTGCTGGAGATCTAATAACGCTCCTGGGAACATCCCTGACTCTGACTTCCTGCTTAGATATATAACTTTTACTTGCTACTGGGGCTCCTGCCTTAACCCCGCCTCTTCTGATGTCTATATGCAACAGCTGGGTCTTCCAGTTTTGAAAGTTCCCAACACTGGCATTACAGGGCGAGAAATGCTGGTTTTGCCAAATGTCCCAGTCATAATCGATAGCTTCTCACTAACATGAGGAGTTATATGCTCACTTGTATCTGGCTCTGCTTATGATGGGGAAGAATTCAATGGGCTTAGAGGGTGGAATCTATAGCCCTATTTCCTAGACCACTTTACTGGAGAATTCTAGGCTGTTTAAAATCTCCACTGAATATTCTTGAAGAGAAGGAGAAAAAGAAGAAGGGAAACCCTTACCTGCTCTGATTTAGTATCCTCGAGTCTGACCCACCCTGCACTACACTAAAGTCAGTGAATAGAGTGTCCTTTAGCTCATCCCTTGAATCATCTGTTCTGTCCTGACCTCAGCGCTGGGCCCCATTCCATGTTCCCTGACCTGGTATGTGAATGTGACTTTCTTAGTCACAGTGTCTAGCATCCTCCAAGGACTTGGGTTTGTGCTACTTGTAGGTTCTTCCCCTGATAGATTTTTTTTTTTTTAGCTTTAAAAACATTTTTCAAATTGTGATGAAATACACATAACAGAAAATATAACATTTTAAGTGTAGAGTTTAGTAGCATTAAGTACACTCACCTTGTTGTGCAACCATCACCAACATATCTCTAAAACATTTTCGTCTTCCCAAAACTCTGCGTAATCATTAAACAATAACTCTCTGTTCCCCTTTGCCCCCAAGCGCCTGGAAACCACCGTTCTACTTTGTGTCTGTATGAATTTGAATGCTCTAAGTACTTCATGCTAGTGGAACCATACACGATGTAGCCTTTTATATCTGGCTGCTTTCACTTGGCATGTCATCAAGGTCCAGCCATGTTATAACAGATGTCAGCATTTCATTCCTTCTTATAGCTAAATTACATTCCATTGTATGCGTGAGAGATGGGAAAGCTCTTCTTCAAAGTTTATATCTCAACTACATTATAGGGAGTTACAATCTATTGCTCTATGGCCATTATTTGCTATTAGCATAAACACACACACACACACACACACACACACACACACACATATACACACACATATATATTCTCTAAATCAGCTACTCTTAAATGAGCTATCTTGACTCACTCCGGCATGTCTGAACGGAACTGGGCAAGCTCCAAACCCTGGTGCATGCCATTCCTTATTTGGAAAGCTTCCTGGCCTTCTTCTGAGTAGCTTCCTTTTCTTCCTTGCCGCCTTTCCCCCTTATCCAGAAAATTTCCAAGTTTTTAGCCAATTGGGTCAAGCACAGAATGTGAGGTCCTGTTTTGGCTGGTGGAAACTGGACACAGCATAGGTGTGTCCAGTTTGAGGGTGATTGAGTCAGGTTATGAAAGTTATCAATGTCCATGTCTCCTTTGTTCGGGGGTCCCCTTGCGGCAAGACTGCCAGCAAGTTGCACCCTTCCTGCAGGAAGTAAACCAGGCTTGCTGAGGGATCCATGGTCTCAGTGTGGATTCTTCCCAGCATTATAAACCCGTTTCCAACATATGGATATGCCACATTTTGCTTTTTCATTCATGCGTCAGTGAAAATTTGACTTGCTTGTACCTTTTGGCTAATGTAAATAATGCTGCTATGAATATCGGCATATATATATATATGTATCTCTTCAAGATCTTGTTTTCAATTCTTTCAATTCTGTTATATGCCAGAGTAGAGTTACTGGATCATATGGTAATTCTATTTTTAATTTTTGGAAGTTCTACTATATTGTTTTCCATAATAGCTGCACCACTTTACATTCCCATCAACAGTGCACAAGCGTTCCAATCTCTCCACTTGCTTGCCCACATCTGTCATTTTCTGTGTGTGTGTTTTCTTCATAGTAGCCATCCTAGTAAGTGTGAGGTGGCATTTCACTGTCATTCTGCTGAGCTTCTTGAGTAGATCACCCACTATCTGCCCTTCTTGACTACCCAGCCCCAGGAAGCAGCCTGCCATGCTAAAGTCTTGGCTGGACCTCGAGAAAGACACTGAACATTGCAGGAGGGCGATAGTTCTTAGCACTCGTAATAGCTACCTGACACTGTCCATTTGTTGAGCCAAATTGTTTGTTAAATCTAAGATACATAATATTTGATATGCACAGTTAAGACACAGACCTGTGAGAAGGGAGTGGTCAAAAAGATGATGACTTACTGAGTGTTAGATTTCTGTGAATGAGCACCATCTCCAAACTAGAGAAGTCCTCTCTCAGGAGTTTACGCCGCTGTAGGGCTCTTTATGTGATATGTAGCATGACAGTAGAATAACTACAATGACGGGATAGAAAAATAGTGAGTAAATGCAAAAGGAAGACTGGCAGACTGGGGTTCATGTTGGTGGGGAGATGACACAGGCTGAATTAAAACAGAAACCACAATTTCCAAAACATAAGCCTCACTTACAAAGCAGGCCAGTTTCTCCCGACCACACCATGGTGGGTGTCACAGACAGTCTAAGTTCAAACTTTGAAACACCAGCTCTTGTAGGCCCATTTTGTTCTCAGACAAGACCATAGAGAAATTGACCTGTCAGTTACTCCCCACAGACTTGTGCATCCCAAAAATAAGACCACCTACTTTTCTAGAAACTCCCCAGTTTAAGAATCTGATGAAATCCTGCCAACACCATCCTGTGGCTAACTCCAGCCCCCTAAGCTTTATTGGGTGCCCTTCCGTTAATCCTCCCTTTTGAGATGCCTCAAATTTCCCCACTGTGTTCAGTTTCCCTTGCTATCAGCCTAACTTTGTTGACTACAGATGTGTCCCAGGTGGTCTTAGGCTCCAGGACATTGAAGAACATTAAATTACATTCAATGTCTAAAGCGAGTTCTCTGCAACTCCATGGCTCCGGAAATGATCAAAGCCTCTCTTTCTGGCCACCTCACAATTTCCCCTCCCCAGCTCTTACTTTCTCCATCTTCTTCCTCCAAGCTCCTGAACACACGGGACACCTGGTACTTATACTTTTATTTATGGAGGCTTCTTACGAAAATGAGTAATTAACGTCATAAGAAAATTCTCAGGCTGACCTGAGAATGAAGCAATCAAGACCACATTAAAATTATATCTTTTTTTCCCCAAGACTCATTACGGAGCTGTGAGAAAATCAGTACAACCTGTTGTGAAATCCCAGCGTAATGTTTAACTAATTTTCTGCCTTTGAGCAGTATCCCCACCATTAGCTTTCTTTTTTTCCTTACTGGCAGTTTCACTTAATCTCTTTAAAGTGACATAATGAAAGAGTGAAAAGAAAATGTACCCTATGGTCCTGCAGCCACCCCCTACAGCTCCACTTTCTGACTCACGGCCAGGAAAGTGCCGGCTCTGTTTTCCCAAGTCCAAGTGGAGGTGGGTACCTCTTTTGCTCACCCCTACTGCTTCCCCAAATCACTCTCCCTTCTTTCTGAACTTTGCTTAATTTACTGGGGAGAGTGACTGATCCTTCCTGGCTGCCTAGGGTAGAGCCTAGATCCCTTATTCATACCTCCCTGCTTCTCTCTCATTCACAATGTCGTTTTAAACGCAGTTTTGTTCCCTTATCCTTCCTTGCTCCTGGCAGAATTGATGGGTATGGAGGAGGTAAACCAGTCCCTCCATGGCAAATTTCAACTGAGACCGAGAGGAACTTGGTGGAGCTGTTGGTGGCTTTCCCAACAAAAAACGGGGCAAGGACAGTCCAAAGCCAAAGGGAAGAATGAAGTAGAGGCTCAGAGGAAAATAGAAAGGACTCCCTTCCTGGGCTCTTTACTGTGTCCCTGGTCTAGCCCTGTGCCTTCCCTAGATCCTGCAGTCTGTGTTGTCAGAATCTATGAGCCTCTGCAGTGCGCTTCCATTGCATTTGCTCAAGTCAGCTCCTGTAACTTACAACCAGAAAAGCCTGAGAAAGGTGCCTGGCTTCTAAAGCTCAGTTTCATGTCCCAGGAGAGCTTCACTCCCTATAAAAGGTGAGCATGTTCCCTGGCCCTAGTAGCTGCGCCAACCGCGTTGGGAAGCCATCCCTGCTCCCTGAGCTAACTGGCATCTCTTGGCTCTGAGCTCCCTCCCTCTCCTGTCAGGCTTCTGCCATGGCCCTTAGCCCTTCAGCCTGAGATCACTCGTAAGCCTTTCTAAGAGATCCCACTGGCAGATAAGGGCTGGATCATCCCACTCCAGGCCCCTCCTTCCTCATCATGTTGCCACATGTACTGGGGTTCACACGCTGCCAGCTTGCTTAGGTTAACAAGAGGTTGCTTCCTTATTTTCTACTAATGTTAGGAATTTTCCATTCATCCTATGCATAACATGCAAGGCGGTTACACTTTAAACTTGCCAGTTAGTAATATCTCTCTCTCTGTGGGTTGGAGTCTTCTTTTTGGGGTGGCCAGGCTGCTCGTGCATCAATGCTTGATCTTCCAGATCTTCCCACCCCTTCCTTTTCAAGATGGCCTCTGGGTTTGGGAAACTGGGGAGTTCAGGGCAGTGAGGAGGAGTGGACTCTGCCTCTACTTATTTGGTTCCTGTAGTCCTTTGGCATCCTGAAAAGGACCACACATGGATGGCCCCTACACCATGCTGACCTCTGGGGCTGAAATCTGTAGCTGGTGAGTTTGCAGTTGATCTCTGGGCTCCATCTCAGCCCCATAGCCCTCCACACAGCTTTGGCCTCAACCTGGTCCTTGCTGCTACCCTGACGTGGGTACTCTGCCCTGCCCCTATAGGTATAGGATCTCTTTGCCCCTGGAATAGCAGACCTCACCAGCCACATCCACAATAACTTCTGCTGCTCCTACAGGCTGTGTGTAAGGCTTGTGAATGCTGACCCAGGCTCCCTGCCACATCTGCTGCACCACGCTGTCCACTGACTGCAGGCACCCTGCCCAGGGTCCCAAACACCACACCTTCCACTCTGCTACAGCCACCACTCTTAGGATCCCAAACAGGAAACCCCTCTGCTCCTGGCTACCCTCTCAGTCCTTCTAACACCTGGGAACCTTGGTTTTGGTCTGAGTGGAGGAGTCATATATCTCTGACTGTGTGCTCACCTGTCTCTGACCCTCTTCTCTTCTTCTACTTTGCTGCCTCCAAAAAGGACATGCTTCTCCCCACCCCCCATTTTGTCTGATCTGAAACCCTCTTTGGTAATTTTCTTTCCCTTACCTAGGCCAGTGCATCTCCAGGCCTAGGTGCCCAAGGCAAAGCATCTACGGAAGGAGTTACGTGCTAAAACCTTCAGTTTCAATCAATATGAAAGCTGCAGAACAATTAAGAGTAGGGATCGGCCAGGCACAGTGAGTGGCTCATGCCTGTAATCTCAGCACTTTGGAAGGCCAAGGCAGGCAGATCACCTGAGGTCAGGAGTTCGAGACCAGCCTGGCCAACATAGTAAATCCCCATCTCTACTGAAAATACAAAAATTAGCCAGGTATGGTGGTGGACACTCATAATGCCAGCTACTCACGAGGCAGAGACAGGAGAATCTCTTGTGCCCAGGAGGCAGAGGTTGCAGTGAGATTGTGCCACTGCACTCCAGTCTGGGCAACAAGAGCAAAACTCTGTCAAAAGAAAAAAAAGGGGAGGACCCAAAGTAAAAATACATTGATTTAACAGCCCCCAAATATTATACCTATTAAACCTATATTGAATGCCTAGTATGTCTCTGGAGTTTTGCATACATTTTAGTTAATGAATATTATATTTTGCATCATATTATATATTTTATATGCTACATTTTATAGCCAGCTTACCTAGCAGGTATCATTAGCAACATTTCGTAGATAAGGAAATGACCAGACAGGTTAAATTGCAAGTGCGTGGAGGCAGGATTCAGACTTAGATACGTATAATTCCCAAGTTTTCCATCACAGCACACCATCTTCTGGGCGTCTGGTACCTTCATCCAGCCCTAGTTGCCACATGGAACATGCTCTCCTCCTGTTAACTGAACAATCAGATGACAAAAGAATGAGTGAAGGAATTTCCTCCACAAACCCAAAGACATCTTGGTATACGCAAAGGACGGTAGGGATACATAAAAATTTCACTGTGATTTTTTAATAGTGTTTTATTCTATTATGTTTTGCAGCTAACAATCAAGCACTTTTGTGTAATATCTCATCTGGCTGTTGTAAGGATCAAGTGAGGGAGAGGAGAGGGCAGATGTTATGAAGCTCATTTTACAATGGAAGAAACTGAGGCTCACAATGCATCAAGAGGCACACAGCAATACAGCTGGTAAGCAGTCTTCTAATTGCGTCTCTTTCCACCTACATACGACATGGCACGTTAGTCATTATTGAATTATTGATTGATACCAAAAGACTTGTAAGATTTAGGTCTAATAACACAGTGACAACCCCATTTATGTGGGGAATGCTTACATTCAGAATGCCCAGCTATGCTGAACACAGATGAGAAAGGGAAGGTATGTGAAGTAAAGAAATCGAGAGTCTTTCGGGTTAAAATAGATGCCACAGTAAAACCCTGAGAGGTTATGTGGTTCCTTGATAGAAGATTCCCTTGAGCTTTTATTCAAAGCTTATTTTCTCTTTTTTTGAAGCCAATTATAATTTGTTTGGTTTTTAGCCTATAGCAGATTAAAGACAGCAAATGGGAGCAGGGAGGCATGCATGTTATCTACAAGAAGATAGTGAGGGAGGAGACAGGCAGAGCATAAAAAGCCTGCACCAGAGCTAAGAAAGCGTAACAATCTAGAGCCAGTCAGCAAGGAGAAACAACCACTTAGACCTAAGTGATCTCCAGCCTATCCTCCCTTGTAGCTATTGCAGAGGACAGAGCAAAGTAGACTGGGAAGTCTGATCTTGCTTCTACTTTAACCCTTTGTTCTTTTTGAATGGAATGGTTAATAACTCTATCAGTTTCCAGTTGCTGCTATAACACGTTACGATAAACTTAATATTTTCAAGTAACACAAATTTATTATCTTATAGTTCTGGAGGTTAGAAACACAAAATGGGACTTACAGGCTAAAATCAAAGCATGGGCAGAGCTGTACTCCTTTTGGAGGCTCTGTGAGCGAATCCGTCTCCTTGCCTTTCCAGCTTTCAGAGGCTGCCTTCGTTCCCAGCACATAGTCGCTTCCTCTCATTGCTCCAACTCCTGTTTTCATGATCAGACCTCCCATTCTTACTTTGAGCTTTCTGCCTCATAATTATATAGATGTTTATGATTATACAGTACCCATCCACACAGTCCAGGATAATCTCCCTATTTCAATATCTGTACCATTCTAAACACCTGCACAATCTCTTTTGCCATGTAAAGTAGTATATTCACAGATTCCAGGATTAGAACAAACATCTCTTGGGGGTGATTAAACAGGCAACTACAAATGAATTCCATAAACATAGAATTTCATAGCTAATGTCACCACTCTCCTTGTTGGAATCACTGGCCATCACTCCCTGCCCATCCTAGTCTCCCTGCTTGGAGAGGGGCCTCCACCAACCTCCAGTGTTTTTAATTTTGAGTCATGGCTGAAGAAAGCCAGAGAGAAAATAGGAGAAAAAAGGGAGCTGAAAATGGAGGCAAAGTCCATGTGTTGGAGACCTAGATGGCCCCCTTCAAGTAGCTTAGGTCTGGCAGCTTGTGCTGGGCTTGTGGAAGATTCCCTCTCAAGAGGTGAAATACCTCGGGAAGCAAGCCCCAGCACAGGTAGGGCTCGTGGGTCTGCAGGGCTGGGCCACCAGTGTTCACCTGACCGCACCATCTGCCCCCGCTACAACTTCTTGTATCAGGAAATTAATGACATGAGGCCTTCTTGTCTGTTCCTAATTGATCACCTTATGTAAAGAATCTTAGGCTGGGTGCAGTGGCTCATGCCTGTAATCCCAACACTCTGGGAGGCAGAAGTGGGAGGATCGCTTGAGCCCAGCAGTTTGAAACCAGTCTGGGCAACATAGGGAGACCCATCACTGCAAAAACTTGAAAAATTAGCCAGGTATGGTGGTATGTGCCTGTAAGTCTCAGCTACTCAGGAGGCTGAAGTGGAAGGATGGCTTGAGCCTGAGAGGTCAAGGCTCCAGGAGCCATAACACCACTGCACTCCAGCCTGGTTGACAGTGAGACCCTGTCTCAAAAATAATCCAAAAAAAAAAAAATCTTATATTTTATGGTGTCACAGACTCCTTTGAGAATCTGATGAAAGCTATGGATCCCCCTTCCAGGAAAAAAGCACCTAATGCAAGCACACTGAAATATACACGTGAGTTTAAAAAATCATAGACCCCTGAATTTAACTTGTTTATTTTCATGGATCCCAGGCCAAGAACCTCTGGTCAGAAGCTCTTACTTTTCTCAAGCTGTAATTCTGAATTCCATCTATGTGAAATTTCTGCAAAACAAAGTTTTCCGCTTTAATTTTAGCCACTTAGATTGAGATATTGTGTGCAAACCTTGGGGACACCTGTTTTTGTATTAGCATCATTATAGAAGCTCTTCCTCCTGAGCAAGGTCACTGGAGTGAACCTCAGTCCCTGGGCTGGGCTGTTGCCACGAGATGATATGTGGGAAACCCCAGCCCAGGCCTGGTTTCCTTCTTCAAGCCGGATACCATGTACTGCCTTTCATTTCTTCTTTCCAGTTTGTGGGAATAAAACCAAAGTTCCTTTGTACATTCACTTTACGTGTTTGAATATGCTCTTTTATATAAGTTTGCATTCCTCTTTTTGTCTTTTGCAAAATCTGCTGACTACCACATCTTGGCCATTCAGAGAAGAATGGGCAGATGCTTACCAGTGTGGCCAACATGGCAAAACCCCATGTCTACTAAAAATACAAAAAATAGCCAGGCATGGTGGTGTGTGCCCATAGTCCCAGCTACTAGGGAGGCTGAGGCAGGAGAATTGCTTGACCCTGGGAGGCGGAGGTTGCGGTGAGCCAAGATCGTGCCACTACACTCCAGCCTAGGTGACAGAGCAAGACTCTGTCTTAAAAAAAAGAAAAAAGAAAGAAATATGTATGGTTTTGTGCAAAAGCCACATGTTGGCATTGAACAGAAAATTCTAACAATTTTGTTTGTAATTGTTGTAATTGGTCACTGAAACATTTTGACTTTCATTAATGCACTATTTCCTTATATTTGTATTAAAAATTCACATATGAAAGAAAATGGAGAGAAAAGGCTACTACCTGATTATTTCTATCCATGTGATATAATTTAAGATCTATGACTCCATGGACATAAAAGACCTAAGTTTTAGAGCTAGCAGTGACAGCACGAAAGCTTTCTGTTTTTGTTGATTGAGAATGAACTAGTTCTCTCCATAATATAAGCACATTATTTGTGGATGCCATGCACTTACTGACTTGTCCTTGGTGTGACCGTTATAAGCCTGCATGAGTCACTTTTACATGCGCACCTTGAGGCAGCTCACCAAAGAATAGCCTTTAAATAGGTCTGTTTTAAAGTCTGAGCAATTTCTCAATCAAAGAGCGGAAGGAAAGCTTCTGAATCTGAAATTAAGATTTCTTATATTGTGACCTGTAGCCATGAGGTTTTCTGACCCCTCCAGGAGAGAACTCTCATCAGGGTTTTTGAAGCAAGGTGCTGGCTGGTTGCTTTACCTGCTAGGTTTGCAGAGAGACAACTTCATATGAGCCTTGTGACAGGAAACACCTGGTTAGATGATCCCATTGTCTTGTGGCTTGAACTCTGGGAAAGAAGAGGTGCTGAACAGGGCAGTGAGGAGGTGGTGGTTCTGGAGGAGCTACACCACTCCTGAGTGTATTCCAGCAAAACAGTAAATGCCAGGGGAGTGGATGGTCTAGTCAATGTCCTGCAGGAGTCTGGTTCCAGGAGAAGATCCAGGGATGAGATCTGAAGACAGAGTTGCTCTGGATCAGAGCACACTGGGCAGGTGGAACAGCTGCTAGTGACTCTAGGTCATACCCAAGACACCAGCATTATTTTAGGCATTAATGCAGACATGAGCATTTGCATTTTTTTCCAGGAGTCAGGAAGAGGCATCGGAATGATTCAAAACTCTGGTTCTGCCCTGGAGTGACTTCAAGCTGAGGACATTCCAACTCAGAGGGCCTCAGCTGCAGAACCAACTGGACTCCAGTGTTGCAGACCAGTGAGGATGGAAATGCTTGCAAGACCAAGATGGACAACGTTGAAATGGCCTCAAGCCTGCTACTAAGACTGGCGCTTGTGGGGGAGAATATTTGGTCCAGTATTCAGAGTCTAAAGGGTAGAGACAGTGAGGATTTGTTTCAGGCAGATAACAATAAC